GAGTGGCTGTCGTCATCAACAGTCCGCTGGGTTAAGCTGTCGTCAAAATCTCCCAAAAACTTCGCAATGTGACGCCTCAGCATATTGTGAAGAAAGAATATATAAAATGAAGATTCTGAAAGAAATTATGGGCTCAGAAGGGCTAGTACCCAGAGCCGTAAAGGCAGTTAAATAAAAAAATCTATAATAGTTACGTTATAAAAACTACTTACAAATAATAATTTCAAAGACTGAAAAAAAAAAACTGCTGCCCTTGTTTTTTTTAGCTAAACCAGTTAGGAGCAGGGCTGCAGAAACGGCAACACGGCAATGGCTGCAAAAATGATGGTGGTTCAAAACCATTAGTCTTGCATTGTATCATTCATCAACAGTCCTTGTGCGGAAAATGTTATGATATGTCTGAAGTTCCAAAACCAGTCATATCGGTTATTAACTTCATCAGATCAACTGGGCTGAATTACCGACAATTCCGCGAGTTTATTAAAGAGATTGGAGAAAATGACTTATCATATCATACTGCCGTACGCTGGCTTAGTTGCGGAAAAGTCCTTTAGCGCTTTTTTTAACTTCGAGCAGAGATCGATTTTTTTGAAATGTCGAGGATAAATCATATTCTCCCTGATTTATACACTAATATCAAATCCTTCAGGTAGAAAATAATACTATTTCAACCACAATAACGAAAAATTAAATCACAAATTTTAAAACATATCAAATATTCACCTACACTACAGAGACTGAATTTCGCGTCGACTTTGCAATTGAAACTTTGGATGATTTAAAGACAAATTTTGATACTCGTTTCTCAGTCATTGCGAATTGAATTAAGTTTTTTCAAAACACGTTTACAGATCTAAATTAACCGATGAGCATCTTAAATCTCTTTTAATAATTTAGTACCCGGTTAACCGAGCTTTGCTCCGTTTTTTTGAATATATATATATATATATATATATATATATATATATATATATATATATATATATATATATATATATATAAGATCTCTTTACGGTAAATGTTGATCAGACGCGACTTCACGCGAGCACTTTGTTGATCCGAAAACGCATGTTGATCCGGCGCCTTTTGCTGATCCAATATGCATCTCTGGTAACTAATGTGGCTCAGACCGGATCAACATCTGCACTCACGAGACTGTTTGCTAACGTTGGCCGAAGTTGATCCGATATACAAATCCACCTTGCGATGGTTACGGAAAATGTTGATCCGATTTAAATGAGCCAACCAGAGCACAGCAAACGATAAGATAAACGATCAGATTGGCTGAATGCAGCCGCGACGTTGCCGTTTCGTATCTTTGGCGGTACAAGCTACAGATTAAATGCGTGTTCAATACAATAATGCATTAAGTGTGCTGTTGGGTCTGCCTCGTTATTGTAATGCGCCGGGTATGTTCGCGGATGCGCGTGTGGATTGTTTCTACACCACCATGCGTAAACGATGCACATCCCTGGTGCGCAGGGTGCGGGCAAGTTCCAATGGTATCCTGAGGGCATTTTCTGACAGGTTTGAGGTCAGTACCTGAACCATTGTCATATGGTGCACGTGCTGACTAATCAGGCATGTCTTATATATAGTTTTAAAATTAGGTGAATAGTTTTAAGTTTTACTAAAATTAGTTTTAAGATTTGTATTATTACTAACATCTATGATCCTTGTGGTCGAAATATACGACTTTTTTTTAACGAATTACTCGACAACGCCCCTTCTTGTAGCGGAAGTGGTGGCAACGGCGACATAAGGTATTCGTCTGAGTACGTGTTTGCGTGCGTGCGTGTGTGTGTGTGTGTGTGTGTGTGTTTGTGTGTGAGTGTGAGTGTGTGTGTGTGTGTGTGTGTGTGTGTGTGCGTGCGCGCGCGCGCGTACGTTAGTGTGTGTGTGCTTGCCCACGTGGGGTGTGCGCGTGCGTGTGGGTGTATGTGCATTCATGTGTGTTCGTGTGAACGCATGCGCGTGCGTGTGTGTGTATGTGTACGTGTGTGCACTGTTGTATTTTTTGAGTACGTATGTATGCGGCAGTGTGTGTGTGTGTTTGTGCGGTTGTCTGCTTGCGTTTGCGCGCACGCGCACACGTGTGCTTGTATGTGTGTGTGTGTGTGTGTGTGGGTGTGTGTGTGTGTGTGTTTGTGTGTGTGCATATGTGTGCGTGTGCGTATGTGTACGTGTGTGTGTGTGTGTGTATGTGAATGGGTGTTCGTGTGTGCATGTGTGCACTGTTGTGTTTGTGTGTGTGCGTGTGTGCGGCAGTGTGCGTGTGTGAGTGTGTGTATGCGTTTGTGCGTGTGCGCATGTGTGAATGTTTGCGCGCGCGCTTGCGTTTTTGTATGTGTGTGTTTACCATAAACCAGTTAACATGTTTTCTACATCTTCATAATCAAGATTTTTAAGGACACGTTTACAAAATTGACAGGTATAGAATCGAACTATTATATGAGATCTTATCATGAGACCTTACCTCCGGTCTTGATGGAGTGACCTCAAAATGTAATTCGGGATTACTAGTGGCACTCCTGGACTAGTAGAACTGGCTGTGCTGAGTTTGGGCTCGTTTTGTTAGTTATGATGAGTCCTTACCTCCGGACTTGCTGAAGTGACCTGAAGGTGTACTTCGGTAACTAACACTGTAACACCTGGACTAGTAGAACTAGGTATGCCGAGTTTGGGTTTATTTTGTTAGTTATGTTGAAACCGTCACAAAACAAAAGTTCTTTTCACTTTGTCTCTAGTACCAATAGGTATCCAAGGTGATATTCGGAAAAATGAATAACCTCGTAGTAACATCTTTAGGGGCAGTATCGATATCCACTTACCAGCTACAGTTTTTCGCTGTAACCAACTGTCCTTTGTATGAGCCTCACTTGCCCTCACGCGGTTTTACTGCACTCCAGTGCACCCACCACCACCTCTGCCACCTACGCCTCCACATCTACCACCGCACCCCTCTCTAAGCCTTCGTTTTCCACCTCCGCTACCTCCGCCTCCACCATAAACTCTGCTCCATCCGCGCACTCACATACATACACACACACACACACACACACACACGCACACACACGCACACACAAACACAGACACAAATACAGAGACAAACACACACACACATACAAACACACGCGCGCGCGCACCATACATACGCGCGCGCGCTTGCACACATACACACTACCGCACATACACTCACACAGACGCGCGCGCACGAACGAACACACATACACGCACAAGCACATAACACACACATAACACACACACACACACACACACACACACACACACAAACACAAAACAATAGTGAACACACGCACGCACGCACTCACACACTCGTACCCACACACGAAAGCAAACACACGCACAACCGCACACACACACGAACACCAGTTAACACACGCACGCACACACTCACACACACACACACACACTCACGCACACGCGCACGTACATGCGTTCACACGAACACACATGAACGCACATACACCCGCACGCACGCACACGCACGCGCATACACACACGCCCGCTCTCGCGCACTCACATACATACAGACACACACACACATGCACACCTACACACACACACACACACACACACACACTCGAGTGACAAATTAATTTGTAATAAAGTACTATCCATCATCTTCTAATTGATCTATGACATATGAATAAAATAACACAAATTCAATCACACGATAAGAAAATCTCGAACAAACGTCTTTCCACAATAAAACCTGCACAAGTTTGATCCACAAAATCAGCAGATAACGTAACCTTATTACCGTAACGAAGTAGCCTACTGGGTTCTCTGTTACACACGGAATGCGACGTTGCCGCTTCGTCAATTATGGCTCCGGATCCACTTAGTCTAAGTAAATGTCGCATATAAATTAAATATACTCTGGATCTAAAAAATCATATTCAGTATGATTTTTTCAACCGTTGATAGATCAACAAATGTTGGTAAAATCGCTGACGAGTATATTGAAATCCTGTTAGTGCAGATCCACCGACATCACACGCGCATCAAGAATGGATCAAAGTATATCAGTTTGTGGGACGAGGAGCTGAGCAAACACGTCAAATAGATGGATCAACAATTGTTCTAACTTCTCACTGTATCAACATTTACCAGGATGATTATATATATATATATATATATATATATATATATATATAAACACTCACGCCTGTCACCCAGAGGGGTAGGCAGAGACGAGACTACAGACTTCCATTTAGCACGATCCTGACATACCTTTCTCGCCTCTTCCACATCCATATACCTACGCATACATGCTCGACGGTTAAGAGTACTCTTAATTTGGCCCATTTTTAGTATATCGCCAATTTGGTCGACAACCTTCCGCCTAAGACGTCCCTTTCCGACTCTGCCATTCACTTCTGCAACATAAATTTTCTTTGTCATTCTTTCCTCATTCATTTTTTCCACATGACCAAACCACCGAAGCATTCCTTTCTTAATCCTGGTCACAACATCATCTTGCAAACCACACTCTTCTTTTACCACACAATTTCTCACCCTGTCATTCAGATTCAGCCCTAACATACTCCTTAACGACCGCATTTCTACTGCGTTCATTCTACTCTCGTGCTTCTTCTGCTACATCCAACTTTCACTACCATACGTTAAATTAGGGACCAACACAGCATTGTGAATTGCCATATGTGCCTTTTTCGACACATTTTGACTCTTCACAATAGAGTGTAGGGCCCCATTTACTCTATTGCCTGCGTTCACTCGTCGTTCTATATCCTTATCACATCTCCCATCCCTGCTAAATACGCTACCCAAATATACAAACTCATCTACTTGCTCGATCAACTGTAAAATCACAATTACATAAATCTTATTAGTGTTTTTGTTTTATTGTGATTAATTAAGTTAAGTTTTCTGTGTCATCATTTCTGTCGTTAAGTTTTACCTTGAAAGTAAAGAAAATCGCGTAATTATCATTTTGTGTTCTTTTCTTCAACTAATCACAGCCACAGTAACAATAATAAGACATTGGTTGTCGTGGGCTTAATTGATGACACTAGTCTTATGCTGTCACGGGCCGGATTGATGTCGCGGGCCGAATTGAGGTCGCGGGCCGGATAAATGCCGCGGGCCGAATTGAGGTCGCGGGCCGGATAAATGCCGCGGGCCAGATTGATGTCGCGGGCCGAATTGATGTCGCGGGCCGGATTGATGTCGCTGGCCGGATTGATGTCGCGGGCCGGATTGAGGTTGCGGGCCGGATTGATGCCGCGGGCCAGATTGATGTCGCGGGCCGGATTCGGCTGGCTAGTTTGGAGACCCCTGTCTGAACCATCTAGAAACCTATTCAAATACACACTAAAATTTTCATCGAAATCGGTCTGACTGTTCTTTGGTTTTAGCGAGACTAATGGACAGCAATATTTAATTATATTAAGTTGGCATATGAACACTTACTTTATTATTAAAAATACCTCAAATTTAGCTATCAAAGTCGCTCTCCATTTTTAGGTATTTCATTTTGTTTTATTAAGATAAATTTTATTTGTAACATGTTATAATGGTCCTTTCTTGCTTTCGAAATAGCTCTTGTCTTTTACAGCCTTCTTTGATCTTGTATTCAAAGTGGAATACCAAATCCTTATTATTCTCATATTAGCTCTGACATTACCTTTTGAAAATTAGTTTCGCATTTGTTTCCGCGTTATTTGTGTTTGATTTTATTATAGTCATGCGAGCATGGAAAAATTAAACATATAAGTACATAAAGTACTTATAATATGTCGTAGCTCCAATACTTTATCAAAGATCATTGGCAATACTTCACGCAAAACACACACACACACAAATAATGTGAGGTCTTTATCTATGAAACTACCGTTATTTATGAAGTAAGTTAACGCAATTTTTTCTATATTTTTATTTTGATTAGTGTTGCCCAAAAACGGTCTTGGTCTTGCAGTCTTGGTCTTGTTCTTGCATTTTTGCAAGACCAAGACCAAGAACAAGACCGCCTAATTTTAGCAAGATCAAGACCAAGACTGACCGTGCAAGATTTGAGCAAGAACAAGACTAAGCCTGCGAGACTTTTACGTCTTGCAGTTAAGAATGAGTGTCGTTTCAGGGAGTATAGGAGTTCGGGTATACGCTTAGGGAGTCTATGAGTCGCAAAAAATATATAAAAAAAATTTGGAAAATTGGACTTATGCGCATTACGAACAATACCATAAACATACATAGCTGATGAAAATATCCATTAAAAGAAAAAACAGTGCATCCCTAGTTTTGACCATCGGCACTTTGATATTGCGCGGCGTCTTGTTGTCGGTATCATCAAAGGTCGAATACTAACCTGTCAAAGAAATTTTGCAGCTATTCGGAAGTACAAGGTCAAGATACACGCGCCGGCGGCTTCTATTGATATCGCATTCAATCGTCGCCGCCGCGCCGCACGCACTACATTTGACACTGTTTGAATGCCGCCACAGAGTACATGTTCCAAAGAATAAAATAAGTTTCCGGGTGCTCAGAATGGACACGAATACATTATGCTGATCTCGCAAGGAATATTGTAATGAGATAATGGTAAGGATAGGTAGATACCATAATAATTTATTCTAGTAAGTAATTATTATAATATTAACTATATGGGTTTATAATGATTACTTACTATTATTATTATTACCTAATAGATAAACATGTTCAATAAGTTCACTGCAAATCTCAATTTTTGGAAGTGTGTGTTTTTGAACACAAAGTGTTCGAATATGTCGTCACCCATTTGATAAATATTGTAGACACTTTTAACACACTTGAAACGTGTGTAAACATTTTGTACAATGCTAATCGAATAATTTAAAAAAGTGTGCATATTAAATAAAAAGCGTAAAATAAGATCTATGTACTTTTTAGGAGCCCGAGTATCTCTTAGAGAACCGTTTAAAGAAATTGATTGCAACGAATTGATGTAAATAATAGTGATTTGCACAATTTTAATAGTAGAAATAAAAATAAAATCATAATACGTGCTTTCCGGTTACACAAAGTATATAATGCGTTCTTGGGTAGCGATATACGCTTTTATAATAAGATTCCAAAAGAAATGTTAGATCTTTCACCTTTTCAATTTAAGTCAGACAAAAATACTTGGAACTGACCTCTCGTACTACACAGGACTAACTAGAAATTTCTAAACCGATTTGATATCTACATATGCATTTGACATTTTATGTTTAACTTATCGCTTTACATAGATACAGAACTATTGTAAAAATATTTTGAAAAGAGCAACTACTGAGTTTCTTACTTTCTTCCATGATTCTTCTCAGTAGAATCAGAACCCCTGGACATGGAAAAGAAAAAATTGGGGAAAACAGTGATTATATGACTATTCAAAAGTGTATTTTTAATGCCTACTTGAATAAAACATATTTGAATTTTGAATTTCAAACGAGTGAAGGCAAATTTAATTTAATTAACGTAGATTAATTCAATCACAAGAAGAACATAATATACACAATTTTATTTACATATTTACATTTCATTTTTACGTAGGCACACTATACCTATCTGGCAACGTATCTACTTTATTAATCTTCTGAAGAATCATTAATTTTATCAAAGGATGCCGAACTTTCCTTTGTCGGTCTTTCGGCATGTACTTACAAATAGTAGTATTTATTTTAATTCCAGTCATTCCCAATTGAGCTTTGCTTCGAGTCTAATGTATTTGTTTAGGCCTGAGTCGGCGCTCGGGTCGAGCGGGAGGCGCGCCTGACGGCGGAGGCGCGGGGGTGCGGGCTGGTACGGCGCCCGGCTGCGCCGGCGTCGGGTTTTGCGCTTCACTTGTCGCAGAGCGTGGAACTGAGTAGTTGCCCGTTGTGTTAATAGCTTAGTCGAACCTCTGCCTTAACGTATATACTTCGCGAACCTGAGTAGTTTGCCGCGCGGCCCGGTGATATTGCATTTTTCACAAAGGTCGAGTTTGTATGTGACGCGCGTTCGGTTAAATCTTGTTGGACTTTATTGGATTAACCTAATGACAATTGGCTTGTCTCCAATTAACAAGTGAGAAACGAGTGTAATTTACTAGATTCTTAAATTTTTGTGACGGACTGCCACTTCGATATAAAGAATAGAGGTGAAGCCTTGGGGTCGGCGGTTCTGCAACCAGCGGGAAGTCAGGTTACATAATTTAACACAATCCCACCACAACACAGTCAAGCACACCCACACTTACACCTGAATCTTCCTAAGGTAGACCCTACTTCGAAGAAATAGGTAAGTTTTTGTTTGGTCCCCTTTTTTACCGCTAACGTGTAATATTCCACAAGCCATTTAGGCCGACCTCCTGTTGCTCGTCGAGTGGAACTCCTGATGGGCCCGAGTTCCACGACCTTGCCCGGGTAACTAGAGGCCGTAACATTTTGGTAGCCAGAGCGCGGTTTTCCTGATGGGTTTTGAAACCACTCCCAGCTCAATACGTAACGTTTGTTGCAATACGTATTAATAATTTTGTTTTGTTTGCGTGTTATTTGTTAGCGGATAGGATCGGTGTATAGAACCGTGTAGTAACCGTATTTTTTGTTTTATTTACTTTATTCGGTCGCTTACTTTGTTAGTGGTAGGTAGAATTGTGCCACGCCCGCGGCCGGGCGTAAGCGGACTGTTTAGGTTACCTTAGGTTTAGGTACACGCGTCGAGTAGGGTTTATAATTACCGTTGCTACATAAGCGTGGCAATTGCAAATATTGTATACGTAATAATTATCAATTAGCGTTGTCTCGTAAACCGACTGTAGTTATTACTCGTGGAATAGTAATTTGTTTGAATTAAATTAATTGCGTAGTATAATTTACTGATTGGATAAATAGCATTTTGTATTGTATTATTTTTATTGTGATAATTAAACTAATTGTGTAAAGTAATTTGTACTAAGTTTAATTCGGTGATAATCGTACCTTGTAATGATGCCTTCACACCGGTCACCGACGCTTCGCTTACAAGCGGAACTGCGCTGGGCTGCGAATGCTCACAGCTTGATAGGGAGACCCGATAGAATCCATAGCTTGGAGAAGCGGCTCGAGCAAGTCACGGCCCGAAGGGCCGAGTGGAGGAGGCATGCTCCGAGATTATGGCTTCGGGAGCGGAACAGGGAGTCCTAGACTCCTGTCTTTCCGACTATGAGCAATTTTTTGCTCTCACGGATGACCTGATTGAGGCAGGGGCCAAGCAGGCTAGTGACGCGCGTGAAGCTCGGCTGGGTGTCCTGCTCGAGTCCCCTCGGAAGCAGCCCACTCACCCGGAGCTGTTGGGACGACTTCCCACTCTGGACCTGCCAAGGTTCTCCGGGGTCCTCTCCGAGTGGTTAACATTTGTGGGACTTTTTGACAGCCTAGTGGATGCCCGGAGGGGATTTAACACCAAGCCAGAAGATGGCGTATCTCCTGGCCTCATTAGAGGGGGGAGGCCTTGGGCGTCGTCGGCCATTTGAAGGTGTCGGACGACGCCTACCTGAACGCTCGGGACCTCCTTGCCGGAAGGTATGCCAACGTACGGCGAATTGCGGACGAGCACGTCAAACTTCTGTTAAACCTCCCGTTGCTAAAGGACCGGGCCCGACTACGACCGGACATCGTAAATCCGGTCTTGGTGGCCTGCAACTCGTTGAGACGGCTGGATTTGCCGGTGGACGAATGGTCCTTTTTGTTGCTCCATATTGTGCTGTCCCGCCTACCTCTCGATCTTCGACTCCATTTTGAGGAGAGGTACGGCGGAGACGGCGCCTCCTATATTCCTCCCTTCAGGGATCTGCTGCGGTTCTTGGAAGAGCAGTGCCGGCAGATTGAAAACGCAGCGGGCACCGCCGGAGATCTGCGGACTGCTAACCGAACCGTGACCAGGGAAAGGCGAAACCCCCCCGGCCAAGTCATTGTCAACCCCCCCTCAGACCGAGTGGTGCTCCTGCGGGAGGGCGCCCCCTACTATCATCTTATAGTGGCCTAGTGGCCAGGAAGGCGCCCCCTGCTCCTATTGTAGAGCAGCAGAACACCAGGTGACGTCGTGCCCTAAATTATTAGGCAAGCCTGCCTCAGCGAGACGAACTATCGCCAGGGAGCGCCGCTGGTGCTATTCATGTTTAGAACGGCACCTCCAACGAGACTGCCCGCACCAGCGGCCCCTGTCCGCACTGCCAGGGCAAGCACCACGCCGTCTTGTGCCTGGGCGCGAACGGCTCTTTCTCTCGGGGCTCGGCTGGGCCCTCATCCCCCCACGGGCGGGGGCGCCCGGCCACCCCCTCTGACAGGTGACGCTCTTCGCTC